GGATCTGGATTATTTTGTACAAAAATTAGATCAAAATTAGGAGATAAGACTATAAATAATTTAAGTTTCTTGAGAAGTTAATTTTAAAAAATGCTAATCAATAAAATGGTATTAGGTACTATATATTATTTCTGTTGTATTTTTATTTTTCTGTATTATTTTATTTCTGTTTATTTCTATATTTATTATTAAAGTTTGTTTAGAATAACACTTTAATTTTTATATTTTTTATATTTGATATCTTTGAAATAAAAATGTGAAATGGAAATCATAATGACTTATATTTTTTAGCACCTTAATTTTATTTTTCAAGAAAAAAATTTACCGGTAATTTACCGTAAACTGGTATATTAATTTTCACTTACCGATTTACCGGTAAATGAAAAAGTCGGTAAATTTACAATCCCTAGTTACGACCGGCCACCAAATGACGATCGTCACCTATAGAACGGGGACTTTGTCAAACAATAGCCCTCGCATCGCCAAGGTCTCCGTATAGCACGAGTACCATGTACAAATAAAATGTTTGGTTTGCAGTACCAAAAGTGCCACGGTGGCACATTTATGGTGCTTATTTTTTTCTGTAGAGATGTCACGGTACCAAACTGCCAAATTTGTCTCCAAACAGCACCAAATAGGAATACTTTAATTCACTACAATCATCTGGTATTTATCATATGAAAAAAACAAGAAAATATGACTTTCAGAGTTAAGTTAGTATATTTTTAAAAATAACAAATAAAAATCATAAAATTATACAAAAACTTTCAATAGTGGTCAATTCTGTCATCTTCAGCTGTATAGACTTTGAACAGAATTCCAATAAGAATTGCAGTTTTTGAACAAACACTAATATTTATACACAAATTTAGTTTCCGGACATTAAATAAACAAACAAATATGTGGAAATACATTAACTTAGTTTATGATAATCATTATATCATTGAGAATTGTCAGTGTAAACAATAAGTTTGTGAGTGGTATTTTTTTTCTACTCCCAATTGTGTTAATTACTCATAATAGTGCCAAGGATTAATGTAGCATTCTATAAAGAAACAACAAATATTCTGGAATGTCCAGAGTTGGACAATTGCACGGTAGTAAGTAGGGATTCCCATAAGAAGAATATTTATTGATTTTTGCACCGCATAAGGAATGCACATCATATGTAATAATGTTGCTTTGTATATCTTTAGCAGTTACAGAAAAGTTAGATGTTTATCAGATAAGTTTGAAAGGGTATCGGTCATTACAGAGTATTTGTGGGGTATCACACAGACTGTTAGGTTGTAAAAATCGAACAATCTTGAAATTGTTACTGAAAAGGTGGCTAGATAATGGATAGTTCCATTCATAAACTTTTCCTTTTTAGTAGACACAGTCAAAATGGGGAATAAGAGTCGTAACACTTTGTGTTTAAGATACTTAAACTCTACCCGCATATAATTGGCATTCGCAACAGTAGTAGCAACTCAATTCCATCAAAGTCTATCAAGGAGAGGAGGGTGAAGATGTATTCTTCATGTTAATTAAGACACAAAATTGCTGCATTTTTATACAAAGAGGATTGAAAAGATGTAACTGGCGTAACTGGTATGATAATTGGATTTTTGAAATTTATGATAAACTCCAAAGGACTGGATCTTTTCTGAATGCAGCTAGATTATTCAATTCATACAAACTAAACATTTTGGTTACAACCAGCCTACTCTCACAAAATATTAACAACAAGAACCCTTACAAGCCTATGGAAAAATTGGGTAACTCTTAACAATACACAAGCCAACATTACTACATACTACAAACACTAGCATGCCGTCTCAAAGAACACCAAAGGAATAATAAGATGACAAACAAATTACCGAACTATCCAAACTAGAAACCAAATGACAGCCTTCATTAATCGGGCTTTGGGATGTTTATATATATATCCAAAGCAGCTTTCAAAGTGGGAAAAAATTACTTTTGATCCCATTTGGGCCAACACGCAATCCTCAAATAGTGCAAAAATCAACAAGTACTCTTTGTGAATTTTTATAGGAATCACTACTTATTAAAGGAGTGTGCAATAGCACAACTCTGGACATTTCAGAACATCAGTTGTCCTCATATAGAGCGATGTGTTAATCAAATAAAATAAAATAACTTACTGGAATGTAAATACTTAAANATTTGTAAACTTGAAGTAGTATATAGTCAAACCTCTCATTCCGTATTATGGATAATGTAGACCCGCACCAAGATACACTTACTATGATGTTCTGTAATTATATGAGGACAATGAATATTAAATAGTAGATACTAACAATTATGAGTTCATTTGAAAAAGTATTTTTGATTAAAAGACTGTTTTATTTTACATATTTTTCAACATTTATGTCTTTTTAAAATTTTATTTAATCATTTATTGAGGACATAATAACCAAAATATTTGTCAATTAGAATCAATTTTTAAACACAATTTTTAAAATATCAAATATTTAGAATCAAATTTAAAAATAATCAGGTCATTCTGCATTTTTATGCATTGATTGTCTTCCAAATATTAAATTATTAATAATGTTAACCAAGGATTGACTACTTTTTTGCCAAAAGAGCCATTTTTCAAAATTTTAATAAACAAATTATTAAGAGCTACAAGATAAGCAAATGAAAATTAAATTTTGAATGCACTACAACTGTAGTAAATGAATCTACTTTATAAGGTGCAAATGTAATACCAATCATTTTTAAGAAAAATACTTGAAATAAGATGTCATCTAGTAAAAATATATTAAATAAGCAGTACTGCCTATTTATAAATACCTAGCTGTACCTGCCCTCTGTGCAAAAAGTTTTGGCCTGTGATGAACTCTCTAGTCAAAGTGTAAATAATATGATTTTGTGTTCTTTGTTTCACGGCACCTCTTGCAGCCCAGATGGTTTGATCATACCTAGAGATGATACCGAAAGTGAGTACAATGATTCTAAGATTTTGGCAGCATATTTGTCTCATTACCGACTGTAAGTGTGCTGTAGTTTTAGTTTTGCACACCAGTTTTTAATTGACTATTACAATTTATTCTAGTTATTGTTCCATCTATTTTAACTTTTGTTTTTACTGATCTACTACATTTTACATATTTAGACATTGGTATTACAGATTTCTTTAATTATAAAGCCTTGTTTACAATTAATTTCTTTAACATTGACTGTACTTTCAAGCTTTACTTCTCTCATATTCACTCTCCATATCACTTTCCATCCACAACTACATTCCCTTCCATTAAATCATATCCTTACATCCAATTCTATACAGCTTCACTGGTATAGCTGCTTTTTCTAGCAAATTAAATTTCATAAAAATCATATTCATCAGTTTAAGAAATATGACACAGAGCCTAAATTATATTATGAATTAGTGTTTCTTACACAGTTTATAATGTATAGTTTATAAAAAAGATATATATAAATTGCAAGATATAAAATTAATCTAATAAATTTTTTGTCAGTTGATTTAGGTATTATTGAATTGTCAAACTGATTGTTTTTACCAACAGATCACATAACACAATATTGGAAATGTGAGAATGCTTTAGAAAATGACTGAACTATGCCATGGCATTAGTTCAGTCATTTGTAGTTACAGTTTATTAACTTTTTAGTCATTTGTAGTTGTTACCATTTTCAAGCATTATCTTATTGTTCTTGGTCTTATAAATGCACTTGTTCCCAAAGATTGGAACTCCGGTGCTCCTATTAACTGTAGAATTACCACAATTATCGAAGCTGGAAAAAATAATCTCTGACACCACAATACCAAGAACATTACTGATAACACATTTAAAATATTTAGCTTTTAAAATCATTTACTTTCAAAAGTATCATTTCTGATAAATGAATTACAAAAGATTAAAAAAATTGAAATTTATTTTATTAAATACTTCGTTGCTGGAAATACTAAGGTGTTTGATTATTTTAAGATATATTAACCCTTGGCATTATTACCAAAACATGCAATTGGATGTAGGAATGAAATATTGCTCACAAATTTATTATGCTAATGATTCTCAGTTTATAAGAACCATTATATCATTAACTTAATGACAGAAATATATAAATAGCACTTTTTAATGTCTGGAATCAAAATTTCAATATGAATGCTAACGTTTTTAATTACATTTATTCAAAAACCACAATTCTTTTATTAAATTTTTGTAACTAACTCTTTTCTGTGTTTGAATTTGAATCAAAATTCTCTTCCAATTCAACTGTTCCGACTTACCTATTCTCTTTGGTGTGTGGTGCAATTTAAATTCCCCTCGTGTACAAAAAGATTGTATTTTTCAGTTCAGAAAGTCTTTTACTTATAATGGATTAAACATTATCTTCTATCCCAACATTTCATTATAATTAAAAGTTAATTCCACATTTTTTAATATAAAAATAACTTGATGTAAGGAAGTAAAATTTTGGAATAGATTCCTTTTATTAAAAATATATTATCTATACTAACATTCTATGTTATTAAAGAGCAAACAAATAATTTTGATACTTGGATTCTTCAGTCTCCGTACTCGTTGTACTTTTTGTCCGAACCCCACGCCTTGCGGACGGGATACTTCTTGCCGTTCAGGGCGATCTTGCGCAGGGCCGCGGCGGGCAGGTCCACGTGGCACTTGTCGGCCAGTCTGATCAGGTAGATGAGCACGTCGCTCAGTTCCTCCGACAGGTGGATCTTCTGTTCCTCCGTCCAGTCTGCAAAAGATAACCGCGTCACTATGCTGCAACTCGTTTGCCGTCCTTTTCTCCGACAATGTTATCGATCAACCTATCGAAATTAGCTAATGTTAACTTTGTCACTGAATAATGATTTGCCTCTGACCCTAAAAATTGTGATCTCAAACACAACAAATTTTTCTTTTCTGTATAATTGCAAAAATTCAAACTATATTTTCTTTAATGACTTAATTGCATTATAATACAAAAAGTTATTCATGAAGGAAAAAGAATTTCATTAAATATTTAATGTAATATAAGCAAAGGTTATTATCACAATAATCAAAATTAAAGAAGGGTTGCAATGGGAGCAGATGAATATATATCTGTTCGACACAAAGTCAGAGGGCAAAAACAAACCCCTCTTTGTCGTCAGATGAAGTCATTCCTACCCCTTTGTTAACTCCTGCATTCCAGGAATTCCCGACAAGGCCAAATATGGAGTTAAGAAGTGGTCCTTTCAAAAACTGATTTGTTGACCCTACTTGCAATGCAGTGTGATCTATTTATACATAATAAGAATATTCAAATTAAGCAATTAATATCCAAAATGGTATGCAAATGTTCAATAGGGTTCAAGACCATCTGAAGTGGCAACAAATCAACCTTATTTGCAGCGGTCAAATCGCTATTATTGATGTCCAGTCGAGAGATTAACATTCCTGCTAAAAAGAAATCAAGCTCTTGAAAGTTGTGAGAAAATATAAGGAGACAGATACAGTAAAACCTCTTATATGTTAGTTTTGTTAATCAATATGTTACTGGAGTCCGAGAAGTAATCATCCGTCGACACAGAATAAGATTATTGCCGTAAGATACGAAAAAAATTCCAGTCTTGGTTGCTTGTTGTTCTCATATGTGTTTTCTTAGCACAATGTTGCCATTGAGAAACATATCACACAGGAACACTTTCAGAGGAAAAAGGTTGTTTTATTGGTGTCACACCAATAAAACAACCTTTTTCCTCTGAAAGCGTTCCTGTGTGATATGCTCTCAACAGCAACATTGTGCTAAGAAAATAAAAATTCCAGTATCTCGTCTCAATACACGAAACCCATTACTTAGATCTTTGTATCTTCTCAAGAGGTACTGTAACCTCAGCTGTGATGTCAATTTGCATTTTTGAGCCATTCAAAACAGTTTGTCGAACGACATTGCGTTCCCGGCTCACGAGAGTATAAAATAGTAAACCGTCCACCATCTGAGACAAAAGAGTCAAGGGCATTAATAATTCTAAGGTTGCGTGCAAAAAGATATATGCAGCACCACTCCATTAATTGGATCATGCACTTATCTGCCTAGCTTTTAATGGTTATAGGGTTTTTCTAATACTTAATTCTAGAAGCCAGAATCTTTTTGTGTGAAAAATCACGAAGGAGACCGATGAATTTTCTATCACAAAATCTCCAAATAGCTAATAAATCATAAAGGTTTATCATAAATTTTAATTATGCAAACTGAAATAATATATTTTAACAAAACAAGTATTTGCTTACCTGGCAATCCTTCTTTAACTTCTCCTTTCCACTGACTTAAAAAAAGGAAAACAAACATATAAATACTTAAATAATTTCTTTTCCAATAAATATAAACACATCAATTTTTGTAAAATGTCTAAAGATTGTTTACAAAAAAGAAAATTAAACTGCAAATACAGAGCACTGCAAAGATAAAGACTTTTGCAATTCACTTATAAATGCAAATTCAGAAATGTAAACGCATCCATGTATAAAATTTGTAATCCGCAGGACCTGCCCTAAAAACTGTTCCATCTATATAAAAAAACAGAATCCTCTATCTTTTGTCTAGCATGGCAGATTGCCCTTCTATTGCCAGGGACGTGAGTCCGACCTAAAGAATACCCGGGCCCCCAATATTTATGAGAACTTTGGCCGATTGCCGAGTTGAGAAAATGTCGTCGGCTCATTTTGACCCGGTTGTTCTACTTAGGAAATGCCGGCTCTGTCATGGCTTTCTCACTTATAAAAATTAATTTGTCGTCTTACGGGCGACTGCCTCGGTCCGAGACGGAACAATGTCGGTCAACTGCACTAATTACAACAAAGAAAGGCTGTGTTTGCAATACATATGCACAATACATTGTTTGCATTGTGACACAAAAGAAGCACTACATTCACTGAGAAAATACAAGTAAATGACCATTTCTCTGCACTTTGTAAATTCAAAATGACAATGCTTTAAGTATAAACAATATAGTTATTATAAAAAGCACTAAACCTATGTACTAGTAAATTTTTATTACAATTGCAAATGTTTTCACTCGTGTTGAATAAGTATCATCAAACAAGCTAATCGCCAAATGCCGAAAACAAACAGGGGATTGTCAAATGTGTGCACAGAAGAGGTAACATCAAACAAGAGAAATGGGTAGGGAAGGATAGTAAGATTTATAGTTCAAAGAAAGACTTCCACACCGTGGGAAAGGGATCAACATTGCAAAAGTTAATAACAGTTTTTTTGCAGGTGGCCTTATATATTTCCATCTGCTCAAGATGTTTGAGAAAGGGTTGCCTGGACGAGTTATATAATAGGCATGTTTCACGGAATTCCACAGCAATGTCGGGGTCGGAGGCACAGATAGCCAATGCCGCGTTGGCTAATCCTTTTGCGATGGACATCTCGTGTTCTTTGAGGCAGATGTTTAAAGGGCACATTGTAGCACACGTATTTCTAAGTGGCGGCTGGATCTATGATCGATGACAGGGATAATGCAGATGCCTGACCGAAGGTGCATGTCCAGACGGTCTTTAGCATTGCGAAGGAGGGAAGTTTTCTTCTATAGTTATTATTCGTAATTTAAAATTTACGCTTATCTTTGACAAGTTAAGAGTTGAACGTCCAAAAATGAAGTGAAAAATTGTCAGTATAATTATTGTTGAATATGGCATTGACAGTTAGCATGAACTATTTTTCTGGGCTCAGAATTAAATCAATTCTGTTACAGATTTTTTTGGACACCATACAGTATTTGCTTCTTTGAAACAGGAAAAATCAATGTCATTAATTAAAATTATAAATGCTTCTATGGGAAACTATTGCATATTTTGTATGCTCTATAAATTGCGTTAGCAACCTTGGATCAATGACACCTCACAAGGTGTCATCGATCCAAAATTCATTTGTCGTGGTTTTCTGTATGTGAGAAATTAAAATAATTTGATCAGTTTAAACTGGATACTGGAGTAACTGGTGGCACATCACAAGTATGCTAGCATGGTTTATAGAGGATACATGTTAAACAAATAGAACAAAATCAAACATTTTATACACACTTCACAATTTTTCTGTCAGTGACGATGTGCCATGTGTTCTGGTATGCAAGCCTTAATATGCCAAAGAGTACCAAGCCTGGATAATTGTTTGAATGAGTTATAAGTTGTACGTGTTGTAATTCCATAGCTGTCTGTGAATTTATGCTATACAAATGTTTCTGTATGTGGTATCATCTTTTTAATATGCTTTAATTGAATACCAAATTACACAGGAAAACATTCATATTACTGCTATTGCAAAAAATACTACACAAATCAAGGAAATCATGTGTGATAATGTTTCATGTTAAATATACGACAAAAAGGATAGTTTTGACTTGAGGATGATTGCTGCGGAAGTCAGCTTTTACACTCTCGTAATATATTAATAAAATGTCATTATATGCTGATAAGCATCAAAAATTGTGAATAAAGTGTGAAAAACAGTGAAGCCAATATGTAAATATCAAAGATTTGCACATAGATGATAGGTTCATTCATAATTTAAATTAACAAATCATTAATTAATACAATTTAGACCAAGCAGTAGAAAATTTCTACATATTTACAGGGTCTTCCAGAAAGAATTTTATCATTTTATGTTATTGTAACTATGTTAATTATTATCTGAGAACATTGTAATATACATCAAAACATTGGAAAAACCACCAAAGTTTCAACTTATCCATTACAATTTCTCAATGTGTGTGCATCTTGTGTCATACAGCACACATCCAATGGATATTCAAATTCTCCCTATGCTTGCTAAGGTATATCCTTTGTCATTCCTCCCACAACTACAGATTGTTTATGTTGCATAGTGATGAGCAATCTTGACTTCACAAACTGCGGAACAAAGAAACTGTGTCCGTCTCTGTTGGAAAGCTGCCATTTTTATTTACGGCACTTGCTAGAGGTAGTAGAAGACGACACATTTGAATGTAGATGGGAGATGAAACTCGGACGGTTGGTTACTCTATCAATTGGTATACGTTTCACACTTCTCCAGTGATAATTAACATAATTACAGTAATTTAAAATGGTAACATTTGTTTTGGAAGATGTTATATTTAGTAATTTTTGACATTTCTTAAATATCATATAGAAAATAAATACTTACAACAGTTCGGCAAGTTCTCCCATCTCGCCGACCAATGCCAGAAGTAAATTGCGAGGTTGATGGTACTGATCCCAGTTTCTCGCTCGGGAAAATTCGGCCTGTATCTGTCGACTGAAAGAAACATTTATTCATTTTTTACTACATTATTTTCCAGAATAGTCGTACAAAAAGTAATTAAACTTATAAATTTACCATTTTTCTGAACTATAATCTTAATTTATAATTAAAATTAAATATTATATTAACACAAATCCACCAAGGATGAGTAAAATTAGCTCCTACGACAAACATTTGGCATCCGACTTCATTCTCCGGTACTGCAACAACGTAGAGAAAGTAGATCGTTAATGCCACGTGATAATTGTTTTAAAATAATGGTCGATGGCCGTCTTTTAACGTCTTTTGTCTCGATAAATGAAACAGAGTAAGTATAACTCTCATTTCATTTATCTAACCAAAGTAAATGATTAATGAAGCAAAATGATTATGATTAATAACAATGATTAATCATGCTAAATCAAGCACAAACTATATTGATAGATGCAAAACTTCCTGTAGAATTTTGGGCAGGAGTCATATTAACCAAAATTCATTTAAAAAATTGAGATCCTATAGAAAAATGGATATCTTATCTTAAAGTTTACCGAACAATCAAAGAAACTTCATGTTAAAGCAGCGGAAAGGATTTCTACAGGATACACTTTTGAAAGAAAGGCATATCAAATATATAGTTCATAGGATGGAAAAATACACAAGGCTGCAAATTTTGATGAAAATACAAGACAAACAACAATTATTAATTAATCAGAATAGTTAAAATGGATGCTTTGAAGAAATGTTACAGTGTGGGAATGAAAATGCAATTATTAGACACATCATTTCTTAGAAATAATCAACACAATTCCGAAATGTAATTGGCCAATGATGCTTAGGAAAATGAAGAAGCACCGTCTAAAGTTGGAAGAAAAACGACGTAACAAATGAACAAATCAAACTCCAACAACCTTGACAATCATAAAGTGTAAGAGGAAAGGCTTGTGTCGGCTGGGGTGAGAAGATCAAAAAGAATAAAAAAAGAAAATAGTGTCAACCCAAGATTTATTGGAAAAAATTCCAATAACATATCGAGAGGCAAGAAACAGCGTCAAAGATGGATTAACAACACAAAAGAGACCAGACGTGATATTTTTTTTCTTGGGAATTAAGATTATAGAAAAGGAAACAGGTTTTAAATTTCTCTAGAAGCATCCATGGACAAAATACACAATAAATTTCAATTTAAGAACTGTAATCTAGTGAAAGAACATGGCATTTCCAGCCAAGATTTAGACTAACACGATAATTCATCACAACAGACGGAGATAAATTCCGAGAGACGATAGGCTCTTTGACGTACCCATTGCTCGGAAACGGGCCCAATGTTACATTTTCCATTAGCCGACCATCTCACCGTAATAAGCACTCACAATTTTGTCATCTAAGAGCAATTAAAAGAGTATACAGATATTTAAAAGGAACTCAAAATTGTAAATTAATGTGTGATAAACAACAAAAAAACTGGAATTCTGCACAGATGCAAGTCAGTGCTAAAGATTTCAAACATTTCTCGGATTAAAATTGGAAGATCTCCGATAACGTGGACGTGTCAAAAACAATAGTCGGTTGCCTTCTCGACGTGTGAAGGAGAAATTAAAGCCATTTACATAGAAATATGGAAAATAAAACGGATCACAAATTTTATATCAGAAATTGGATTATCATCAAATTTTATATCAGATTGGCATATCCACAATGTATAAACATTGTGGATATGCCCCCGATCTTAAAGTCAGATAGTCTATCAGCCATCGACTCGATAAAAGGAATAACATTACATAATAAAACAAAATGTATTGATAGAAAATATTATTTTGCGAAAGACAGTAGAAAAGGAAACCACAAAGATACTGTGCACCAGATCTAGATACAGATTTTCTTTTAAAAAGATTACCTGTGGAACAAATAAAAGTACCTTCTCAAAAGACTGGACTTATTAATGTTAACTGTTTGCAGAAACCATACAATATCTTTCATAAAGGAAGACTCCCAAAATTTATTATAATTAGTTTTTGGTTTCCGTGGAAATATGCTAGTGCCTTTGAGTTTTCTGCATGATGTTTTTATCATCTGAAATTTGAACTTTTTTGGGTTTGTATAAATCTCTGTGTTATATAATTTTAACTTAACTACTCTTCTTGTAATACGTCAATTGATCTATTTGATAAATTACCTAATAATACCGACAAACAAGCCGAGGAAGTCGCACGATTTGGTGATATAATGTCGCCACCAAACTGTACATTCGGTCACTTACAAATTCTGAAAAGATCTCTATTTAGTATTTAAGAGGATCATCCTCATAAATATCAAATAGATGATTAAGTACAAGTATTTGTTGACACTTTCGATGGTGACAGCATTTTCAGGTTTGACTAAGTGGCAAATCAGTAGGGCAATTGTAATTCATATATTAAAATACATAACATTTTTATAAATGGAGAAAATATTCTACACACAAATAGTGATTTGATTTGCAATTATGTATTTAATGGCATAAACAGTTAACTGTGCATCAGTAATTACCAGTAAGTATACATATAAACAAAATGCCCGTTTCCTGTCAGTTAAACAATATCCTGCACAATTAGAATTTACAATTATATGTTGTTTTATTACTTGTTCATTAAAATAACTTAATTAATTAATTATTAACCATAAATTATCAGTATAAAGTTTATAATTAATTTAAAATAACTCAACTTACAGATCTTCTAAAGTCGGTGTGTTACTGAAAGAAAAACTTTTGCCGGAACCATTATTAGTCGTGTTAGTCGTAGCCTCACTTTCTCCATTTAATTTTGCAGCCATTTTTTAACAAATTGTTAAAATATTAAGAGAGAGAACGAAAATTTAGATGATTCGATCGACGTAAAAAAACAAATGTCGTTCGAAACCACGTGTTTGTTTACTACATAATAAAAATTCGCGGGAAAATCAACACTCGTGCTCTCTAGCGCCACCTGACTTTTTTGATATTATACTTTCAATTTTTTTTTATATTAAAATTATTTTTTATGTTTATACAGTAAACAGATATTAATTTAAAATAATATAAATTAACTTCACTAGAAAAGTATAAACTATAAAATGACGGCACTTTAATAAAAATTGGATTGTTTTGAAAGATTTTCGGGTGCCCGCCAATGGCCGAGTGGTTAAGCCATTGAACTCTGGCGGTTGGTCGCGAGTTCGTGCCTGGCCAAAACGCCTAAATAGGGGTCATTTTCCCTTAGAAAGTTCTATAATATACGTAAGTGAAAAGTTAGTAATTCTTTTTATATTACTCGTAATTTAATCAAGCAAAAACAATAAAAAATAGAGTTTAAGTAAGTTCGGTACTCTGTGATTGCACGTTTTATTCGGTATTTTAATTATTAACTTAAAAGTAACTTAAAATTAATTAATATGTCTAAATATATAAAATTATATTAGAAATACAGGAAAAATTTCATAAATTATTGAAATATGTTTACACATCTACTGATAAAGTATAGAAATTTGCGGGCTTTCCCAAGAGATATATTATCTACTTTCACTTTTTATATAATAAAAGTAATTAATACTTTCATTATGTAAAATGCTAGGTGAACAGGAAGAGACCCGGCATATCCGGGAGAGACACCCCCCGAATAATTCCTGGGGTTTCGTCCCCCCCCAGAGCGATAGGCCGATGCTTTAATCGTCTCGGCCATCCGGCCTTTAGTAAACATTATTATTTAAGAATTAAAATGAAAGTAATTGTAATAAAAAATGAGATATGTGTATAGTATAATTTCCTGTACGTTCAACTTTAATTCTCCTGTTGATACAACTTTAGCATTGTGTGCATGTAGATTATTAATTAATATAAAACAGGAAACAATCCCCCCGTATTGCCTGTTATTTTATTATTTAAAACCCAGGGATCCATAGCGGGCTTCGAAGCCCTCCCTATTGATACAGAATTAAAAGAAATATTATTTGTTGAACTTTAAATCTGGACAGGTCGAAAAACTCGTAGGAATTTTTCGGGGATTCTCGTCCTTTACTAATGGCCAAACCCACAATGGCTTTCGGCCATTAAAAAGCCATCTTAGTACAAAGCGGAAAGAGTAAAAAGTAATGCCTCGTGCTCGTAAATTTGTTCTTATTTGATGAAGGATAAGACCTTATGCATGGTATATTGTTAGAGTGACGATTAACTTCACCAACAATGGTATTAAGAGGGGTGTAAGAAAAAAATATGTCTTACTACAGTAGATCTCGCTTTGAGACTGCTCATTAAAGTTTCGCTTCCGAAACTAATACAAATTTTCATTGAAATATCATATTTAAGTGCCAATCGTCATTGATCAAACCATCGATGCTGGTAATTAGACGCGAACAAGGTGGCTACGTGGAGTTTTCCGGCTTTTCTTCGTGTCGCACAGAATGCATAAATAGGGACCAGCTTTCAACAGGAACTCCGTCCGGGAGGCACCCTCTTGGCAGATTGCCCGAGTGTTGCATTGGCTTATTCATCAATAAAATCCATATTTAAGTGACACATTAAGATGTTCGTCCATTCTTTTATTTTCGGGAACTTAACTTTAATTTGTAACATTCAGGTCTAAGAGAAACAGGATAAAAATAAATCAGGGAGAAATACCAAGTGTCCATTTTGGACTATATTATAATAACAATACATTTTTTTTTTTAATCGTAATTAACACTTGGACGTAGGAACTAGCAATTTTGCTTTTTCAACGTAATGTTTTGTTCTATTTTTTTGTCATTTCGTAATTAAAATCGGGCACTTAATTAGGAATGTCTTATGGCGCCCCCTGGAAGACGGAACCTCTTGCGTGTGTGCCATATGCAAATTAAGCAACGTCTGTTTTGCATATTTGCAACAGAACTTGAGGAGCGAGTACATCACATCAATTGTGAGTAACGTATTTCGGTCCCAAAAATAATAATTAAATTTAACCTATTTTTATTCATTTTATTTATTTTTAACCCTTGTATTACCCATATTGAATGACGATGAAATACAGTAATACTTAAATTACAGTAGAACATCGATTATCTTCTGTATTTTGTTCTCCAGCACAAATATTCGATTAAAAGTTATTAAAATTTTAAATTTCTCATTGTTATATAAGTTATAACAGGGGAAAAGTATAGAGATCGGTTAAAAATGACCCCCAAGATTTTGGCATTTTTTGACTCCGAGCCTTGAAACGAAAACGACAAATGCAAAAACTAGTTGGGGGTTTTTTCGGTATGTATGGGTGTTAATATATAGGCTATGTATGTATATATGTGTAGATGGATGTTTGGGGCACGATTTTCTTCACTCACTATGAAGCTTAATAACGCTTGTGCCTTTTGTAAAAAATTTCTGAAATTTTGCAGGAAAGTTTGTGTATTGGAGGAAATGTTTCTATAAATTTTCAAGAAAATCTGACCATTGGTTCGGGAGATAAGATCGCCATACTCTTAATATGTCCCGAATCAACCAAAGATCAACCGAAGATAATAGCAATTATTAGGCATGAAAACAAATAAAGAATGCCCGGAAAGTCTAGCAACAAAGTTGCCAGCTTCTTTTTGATATTTAAAATGAAGATTAAGGAATTAAATATAACGTATTTCCTCAATTAAACCCCAGGGATTTACTTTTAAAACTTATTCTCCAGATTTATTACCTTGTAACAGGAAATTATGGGTTATTTATGGGTTACAGCCCATTTAAAATAATTACTGTTTTTATAGTTAATCCGATGGCCCAACGGCGACCAAGTGGATAAACCTCCGAACACTGGTCGACACTTTGAAGAGGTGGAATTTTAGTTAAACCCATTATTTATCACTCTAAACTACAGTAACCCGTGCAGACCGGTACTGTGTTTCTCGTGTTTTTCAATATGGAATTTACTGGAGTAAATAGGGTATACTTACTGTACGCAAGATACACAGATACCTGTATATAAATATATACAAGCATCTGTATATACTACCTGGCTCGCAAGTTGTGTTTGTTTAGAAAGAACGGAACTCTTTTTACCACAAATAAATTTCTTGACTCAGCTGTACCCAAGTGATTTATTACGAGACAACATACTCGTGTATCAACTTCAACTTTTATTTTATTTTTTCAATTTTTATAGAATAAAATATAACGTTTTTCTATAACGTTCATTGCAGTAAATTTTATAAAAATTGCCATAAGCTTTTTTTTTTACTCTTTCCGCCCTGTGGGCACTAAGAGAGCCTCTTATAGCAGGCCCATTACGGGTTCGGCCAGGCTCACAATGGGGCGACCGGGTGGTGAGGGACGGGGCCAGACATATCCGAACGAACCACCCGAAAAATTCCTGGGGATTCCTTGACCCGTCCGAATTCGATCCCGGGTCCCTCAGAGCGGTAGGCTGCCATCTTGACCGCTCGGCCATCCGACCGTCTCCATAAGGTTTCACACCTTTACAATGGTATAACACTGTACGGCATCCGAATCGCTAAGGTTAGCACGAGTTCTTGTATCTACACAATGCGCGGTGCTTGCAGCGCCAAAAGCACCGTAGCGTCGAGTTTTGAATTTTGGTATGGATTTTTATTTACGGAAATGTCACCATTTTAGATTTGTCGCGTCGGGTTAATTACGAATCTTCTCAAACCGAAATTGTGAGAGAATGATAGCCTTTGATTAACGTGTGTAGATAGGATTAAATATTTGTTATCGTAAACCAGGACATTATCCTCCACTTTGATCTAGAAAAGAAAGACATATCCGCCATTTTGAATTAAGACATGTCCTTTGTCTTTCGAAACACACCCACGATGCGCTCTTTCTCTGAACAATTTCTGTTTATTCGTAAGTTGGGAATTGTATAGCATTAAAACATTGATTCCTTGTAACACACCGTAACACTTGCCTACCTCGTAACACTTCAGTAAAGTATTGAAAGGTAGGAATTACACGTCTTTAAAATGTTGCGAGATAGGGGTAACACCTAAAAGATAAGAAAGTAAGAAAGTATTCTTCAGAATTTATAGTTTTTAACTTAGTTTCTTCCAATTTCTTATTCTTACGAGCTAATCACTCGCCATTTTATCTCTCTGTACATTACTAAGGACTGTAAATCTTTCAGCGAGACATTTAAGTTCTTTCTCTTCACTTTTGATACATTTATAACTAACTAAAAACGTCAAGTCTTGAAGTGAACCACTACAAAAGCACTTTGAAGGGTTATAAAAAAAGTGCAACTCGATTTTCTCCATTAAATATTTCTCATACAGGAAGAACGTTTTATTAATTTTACTGGTTTTACTTATTTAAAGTACTTTATATATTAAAATATTTATAAATTCATTTTAAAAAAATATTAAGGTGTAAATACAGTAATATTAAAATTCATTCCAGTAGATGGCAGCATCGTCGAGAAAGTAACGCGTTGGATCTGATCGTTCAGTTTGAATATTACGTCGATTTGACGTCACGTGTTCAGTTTTATTTTCGAAATGACATCAAATTGACGTAATATTAAAACCAAACGAACATCTGTAAGTCGAATGCGCCACCTGCCAATTTGTACCAACTTACATTTTGTTTTTTTATTTAAAAAAATAAATGTTTTAATTTAATATTNAATATATGTTATTTTTAACCTTAAAAATTGATTTAAAATAACATTTTTCTTACACTTTAACTAATTAAACTCGTATTCAAACTTTACACTACGTGCTTAAATATCGGTTACTCATCGTTTTTTTTTTAAATTTCCACCAAAAATCACCAAAATTTAATATCGTTAATCCATTAAATTTTCATATATTATTACATTTTCGTGGCCATTAACACAGCATAAATTCTGTAAATAAAAAAAAGAATGCTTATTCATTGCTCGAAGTAATGTACGATATAAAGCTCGCTAGCCGGAAAGTAGCGGGGAACTTGTTTAAAAAAATAATTTTATGTAAAAAATTAAAACATTAACCTCAGTAATAGCAATCCGTGTTAACTTCAACTATTCTATTATTTAACGGTTGAATCGGACGATAGTTATATTTGAGAACTGCTCCCGTAGATTGACGAACCCCAGTACGGAATTCATACAGCTAAAAGATTAAATTTTATGTTAATAAATTAAGATTTTAATATAATTTTAAAGCGAAATATCGAATACTTCGCTTACTTGATATTTGGTGATGTCGATAGTATGCTTTAACAAAGTCCACGTCACCCCTTCGTTACATTCGGGAGTGGTCAAGGATCCGTTGTAACGGAAGTACTCGCAATCGTCTTCCGGTAAGAGTTCGCTAAGGGACGAATCGAAAGATATATTCGCCACTTGATTTGCATACTCTACTTTATCGATGGCTCTTGCAATTGTATCTATGGCTTTCGAAGAATAGTAAGAGACCTGTTTAAGTGAAAATTAGGATTTAATTAGAATTCTTTTTTAGGGCATTCGTCTAATTCAAAGATTTTTTTATATATTTTGAATCGGTTAGACTGAAGGATCATTTATCTTAGGATTCAGAACGTCAAAATGTCTTATACTATTAACTGAATATCAGAGAACGTATGGATCGAATCGAAGGACACTTTTCTGTGGATTCAGTTGGATCCAAACGTTCTAGCTCTTAGGAAAGATCCTAAAAAGTCCTTTGGATCTCTTACAAAATCATCTTTTCTTTTGAAAGTTATTCGAGGGACCTTTCTTTAGATTCAGCTGGTTCGAATAAACCGAAAGAAAACACGACTCGACATTCATTGAATCCAAAAATAAACGAGGAAAGTTTCGAAAATGCATTCGATATTGTAGAAAAAATAAATAAATACCTCGAAAAATACTGCAATAACTGCTACACCGTCTCTGTATTGTAAAGCTTCTTGCAAAGTGGAATATTTCTCATTCTTGTGAACGAAGTGAAGCTAAATTATAGAGTAATTAGAAAAGAGTCCTCACGCTCCTCTCGCTCACCGAGGAGCATCGCGTGTTAAATGCTTTTCGGTGAGGAATATTATGTGTTAAATATAAAATGTCTTACTTCCAATGGATTAAATCCGCCATAATAAGAATGTTCCGCTCTCCAATGAAAATGAAACTCTTCGAGTTTAAAAGTTCCGGGCAAACTTCCGCCAGATAATTTAATGTCATCGTTAGGTGTCACTTTGACTTTACAAAAAAAATTAATTTATTTAAATAATGAAGTAAGTATATATATATATATATAGAAGTAAGGAGAGTAATTACGACTATTCTAGAGAAGGAGACAGAAGATGGTGTGACCTCTTCTTCATGAATGGTATGGCCATATATAGAAGGTGAAGGAGAAGAGAATATTGAAGCTGAATCGGATATTAGAAGATCGAAGAGGTCAAAGAGAAGACTTTGGAGTGCATAAATATGGAAGGACAAAGAGATAAGGAGGTAATGAAAAGAAAGGAATGGCAGATAGGTAGTAAGCATATCTTGAGAAAAAGTCAAGAAAAAC